TACATAGAGAACAATTGTTGTACGTGTTGCATCATTTATTATCTTTTTTTTTTTTTCTTTCAAATCGTATTATTATACAATTCGAATTGTCTGGACAGGAGACATGTCGTGTCGTGTGTGTGAACGACGCACAATATTGTCTGACAGGTAGAGCGGTATGCGTTTATTCATCGGTATTTGAGGACACGCCTTCCACTCTTTGCACCAGTTTTTTCTCAATGCCTGTCACAACGCTACGAATTCCACTTGTAGGGAGGGAATTTTTCGAATACGTTTTCCAGGGAACAAAAGGGATAATTTTTCGATAATTAATCGATCGATTTCAATAATAATTTTCGAAATATCGTGGTATTAAATTTAATTGTCAGATAACTCTCTCGCTTTTTTTTTCAAAGGGGGAAAATAAAAAATTTGGAATAAAAAGTTGACCTCGCCTCTGAACTAAACTCGTTACGTGATTACAACGCGAACTTTTGTAGAGAGAGACGAACAACCTTGAACCAAAGAGGGGAAAAAAGTGGAAAATTATTCGAAATTTGATAATCGTCTATAATCCTTCAGTTCATCACAGTAATAACTCGAAGAAGATTTTCGAGCATTCGTGTGTATATTTTCCGCAATTATTATTTTCCACCAATGAAAAGGATGAATCTCGTGATGAATCGCGCCCTCTAGACTAGGTGAGATTCTAGTTGTACGAAATAACGATCCTCGTATATTTCGAGGCGGAGAGGAAAGGAAACTTGAGATATATTTCACGTCGGAGGAATTGAAAAATTACAATCGTCCCCTCTCGCCAGGATACACTTAGGCTCGTTCCACACTCGTTTTCACGAAAATCGCTTCGAATCCCTCCGAAAGATACAAAATTCTAATAATAATTAAAGATATTGTTTACTGGTTGACAATCCTGACACCTTACGATAGTTGTAGAAGAGGTATAATTTGATTATTCAAAACTAAAAATTATTTTCATTATTATAAAATTAAGTAAATCGTCCAAGATTAGAAGAAGTTGAAAATATTTTCGAAACTATAGAATTGTCTAGTTTATTCGTATATTCGAATACGAAATTACACTTATAAATTAAACTATCGTTACGAGTCGTAATTAATTTATTGATGAGAAATAAATAAATTTTTGTATTATATCGATACGTTAGAATTTTCTGGATTCTATACCTACGTTACGCATCGAGGTTTAGATACAAATCGTTATTCTGAATTGGTATATGTGACGACGAACACCACGGTAGAAACAAAAATACGTGTGAAAATAGGCGTTTCCTTTCTCGTTAACCAATCAGCACGCGAGACTTCTTTCCACCAATGAACAATAATATTCACTGCTGAAAAAAGTCTAGTAGAACGGCAGAGAAACGAGAAGTCCTTCAAACGCTTTGTTGATAATTCTGACGCTACACACTATATAATAAAAGAGCTATAATTATAATATTTAAAATTGTAAAAATTATTATGAAGTTAGGATAATCATCTAAGACTGAAATATTTCCAAAACTATCTATAATGTTTAGCTTATTCGTTTAGTCGAATACGAAATTATATTTATAAATTAAATTATTGTTACGAATCGTAATTATCTATCGTAATTATTAATCTATACGTTAATCGTCAATTGAATTTGTGAAAATAAGCGTTTCCATTCAAATTATCAATCAGATCCGCATTCCTTCGTGTCTTCTTCTGTGTCTCGCGATTCGCGACTCTTCGATTCTCCTTCTCTTTCCTGTATACTTTCAGCTAGGCAATATTCAAATGCATTTGACCCTCGATCGTTGGAAAAAGGTTCTTCTTTCCATTCAACGTGGAATGTTTCTACATCTGCGGAGTATTCGTCTCCCTCGATTCTATACAACCCATAAAGCCTTCGTTCAATATTGAATATGTATATACATATATATATATCCTTTATTCAGCTTTTCACGTTCTTCGTACCATTTATATCTTTCTCCACGTTTTTATCGCTCGGCTAATTGTTAGCATAGCGATGAATAACCGATTCAATTTTTATAAATTTAATTCATGTTCAAATTTAGTAAATAACCATTTTTCGAAATTGGTTTATTAACGACTTCAATCGAATTATCAAAAATTTGATCAAAACATCGAACGAGAACGTTTCCAACCGATTGTATATCTCGTTTCGTCGAAATCTCGTTTTCCTGGAACCTCCTCGACTCGGTTGGAGTCGAATTCTCACCAACTTCGATTACCGTTTACCCATGACTCACCTGCGGTCGCCGGCTCGAGACAGAACAAGGGGATGAGATGGCGGGAGGAGGAAGGAAGCGAGGAAGAGGTGGGTAACGAATCAGCCGCGCAACACGTAAGAAATATCGCGTTACCGTCGAACGGTAAGATTTCGGTATCGCGGTTAATGGGGGATTGGTTCATCGTCTCGTTATCAGCCGACATCGATACTCCTCTGTTCGTCAGCGCGATTTCGCGGTAACATCGATCCACCCTATCGATCCTGACCACCCTCAATGCATAGAATGAGGCCTAAAGTTTCAAGTGCAAACGGATGATTCCTCTTGTCGGAGGCTTTTGAGAAAAATTTGAATTAATTTCTAATACGAACGAATTATAGGAGATTATTATGTGAGTTAACTTTTCATAATTCCATATTTTTTTGTTTATCTTTTTACAAGTTTTCAGTCGTATCCTACGTATTTCACGTAGAGAGAGAGGGGATATCACGTAGGCAGGATTCGTACGTATTTTTATTCTCACGTCGACGATTACGTAACAAGAAAATTCCGATTTCGTGGCAGTAGCGATTCGAATAGGAGCTGGACAAAATTATTATATTGCTTTTTATTATAATTTGTTATTTCATTAAAAATTATATATAACATAAAAATAGAAAGTTTCTACTTCATTCGATTCTTATGGAACGATGGTGGAACATATAAAAAAATCATTACATCGCATACATGAATTTCTAATACGAAGTAATTATTTAACTTTAAATTTAATTTAAAAAGAAAAAATAAAAAACTTATCGATAATTTATTTAAATTAAAACAGATGTTTCGAGATATTATATCCATTACAAAATTGAAATTTAAATGCTTCTTAAAAAATTTACAGAATATTTCTCAACTATTGAATTAGTTCTCTGTCTATATACGCATATTTTGTTTAATCTGTAAATATGTTTAAAAACAGAATTTAAAATTTTAACACATAAGAGTTTTAATGATATAATTATCATATATGACAAATAATTATTTCCACATGGAAATAATCTTGATAATGCTTATCAAGAAACGATGTTCTTGCATTTAATCCATTTTTCTTCACGGATAGATTTATAAAGATCTATCTATTTGCCAGCAACAGACGATTCTTCTCCCACGCGTCGTTCTCCGTGCCAGAGATGTCGTTCTGCGACCACGCGGCCCATTATCTTGCGTTATTACCTCGGTATGCGTGCTTATCAAGAGATAATCCTCCAATCTTCTAATCTCGTTCATTTGAATCGCGGCGCATAAGCGGAGCGCACGATTACCATTTATATTCCGGGTCAAGGGTGACGAACACAGTTGCCTCCTTTCTTTCTCCACTGCGAAATATATCTAGAGGCGAATCGAAAGTTCGACGATTCAAAGATAAAAAAACTTCGCTGCTTTCGTTTATATGATTGAACACGTTGCGTAGAAATTGCGAAATTGTTGAAAGTGCACGAACATGAAAGATCCGAAAGGAAACAGATACACGAAAGAAAAGAAAACGAAAGTTTATGTCGTTCTCGAGTTACAAATTATAATTAGCATAAAAGTATAATAAAAATATATATATATATATATCCTTTTCTCTATTTTATCCTTTCGATCGAATTAATTTTGCGGATTTCCATTTTTCTATTCCAATTTTTTTGAAAGCAACCGCGTTCAGGTTTGAAAAATTACCGTGATGGAAATAGAATGGAACGCTCGAAAACGAACCGTCAGCTTTTCCGTCTCGAATTTCACGTCTCCTTCCTCAATTAACTTCTCTCATCCCCGATCCCTCCGAACGATGAAAAATTGCCGCCGAATTTTTACACATTCGCGGAGATCCCTTATTTCCCGAAATTTCGCCCGTTAGGGGACGAAAAAGGAATTATCGGGTCGGCAATTTCCACGCGACCGTTATGTATGTCGCGCGTTTATCTCGAAGCGCAAAGCGTGAGTTGCGCAAGAAAACGTTTGCATACACGATCGTCATTAAGGTTATCGTTCGTATCTGCCGACACACCTTCCCCCTCCACACTCGCCTCCCTCGCAACACTCCCGTCCTAATTACTTTTTAACGCCGGCTATAAAAGGAAGTAAGCGGTTCTCGAGCTTCTCGAACCGGCATAATCGTAAAACCATCTGACAACCATCGGCCTCGTAATTAAGCCGCCACGCGTGGGCGTACAAACCTTCCTCGTCTCTCTCTCTCTCTCTCTCTCTCTCTCTCTCTCTCTCTCTCTCTCTCTCTCTCTCATTCCCGCTTTCTTTCCTCATTTCTTTTCATAATAATAAAATTGTTACAACCTCGTTTTTCTTTTCTACTCGTCTCTTTCCTTCCTCGAGGATTTAACCCGTTGCATTTCAACGAAGCTTGCTGCTTCTCCTGATAGATCCTTTATTGATTAACAACGGAAATCGAGATTAACCATCTGATCCATTATGACAATATTTTATCACAATACGATGATGATTTTAAAACAAAAATTTTAAATGTTTATAATTATACGCTTTTGATCACCGTTTCACAGTTGACCGCGCCACGTTCTTCGTTCCATCTTCTTCGAATAATTCCGTTCGCGTTAATGTAATAACAGTTTCTCGCTTAATGTTTACAGTTTTTATCGCGTTTTATTCGCGATATTGTTGAAGGTAACATTGGCACAGAGGGCAAAATATACGCGATAGTGACGGAACTCGTTCGAATCATGGGGACGGATTGGTGGAGAGGATAAAGACGTAGCGACGATCACGTTTCAGGTGAGGAAGGTGTGCGGCCGCTCGGAGCTGGAGCCGTCGTCGTCGTCGAGCGAGAGGAGCGTCGCGGATGCAGCTGGAACGGGGAAATCGTCGTCGAGCGGGATCGAGACGCACGCAGCTGCTGCTGCGCCCAGCCGGACCTTGCCATCCCAGTTGCACGTGCAGCTCGGCAATTTCCTGGCCAGCGTGGTCAGGTCTCGCACCTTCTACGGCACCCTGGCCGACACGATCTGCGAGGAGTATCCGGACAAACGGTGCTGGAACGGCGAACGAGTCGGGGAGTGAGTAGCGTTCTTTTCTTTTTTTTTTTCTTCCCCTCTCCCCCTCGCTTTTCAACTTTCCTCGAACCTCGATGGAGGAGCATAACCATTTCGAATTTTAGTATTTTAGGAAAAATCGCTCGAAATTCTTTCCGACGGCCAACTTCGACGTTTCGTCTACGCCAAAAATGTTCCGTTTCCATCGAATTTCATCTTCTTCTCGAATTTATTATTCTTCCGCTCGCTCGATCCGATCATTTATCATTGATTTTCACACCAAAATTTCCGTTCGCATAATCCTTTCTAATCTTCGAACAACTCCTTGTTCGCTTGAGTTTTCTCGCAATTCGCATCGAGGCTTAAGTAAGTGAGTGACAGGTGCATCTTCTGTGGTTCTAAATGTTTGGAATGGAAAAGGAAAGGGAGAGAGAGAGAGAGAGAGAGAGAGAGAGCGAGTGAGGGTTTGCGGGGGCACGTTGGTCGACGATCGAGTCATCGGCGAGAAACGTTTTCCAAGCACGTATACACCAGCTTCCCTCCCCTTTGCCCCTTTCAACTCGATCCTCTCAGCGTATCAGCGGCAGTGCCGGTGTACGGTTTCAGGCCCGCGATAGAATCGGCTTGGTGGGGGGGCGCATCGGGCAAAAATGAGC